GGAATATTGGAGTCATACCTACAGCAAAGAAGTTTCGCAGTACCATGCAAAGATTTCCTCTCTGAATATCATACAATTGAAGCTAGTGTACCGCAAGGCAGCGTGCTTGGACCGACACTGTATATCATATTCACAGCAGATCTACCGACAAATTAGTAATTTAGAAATAATCCAGAGAGCCCAATCGAAGATACTAAGAACTATCACTGGGGCACCATGGTACATACGGAATGAAAATATCCATAAAGACTTAAATGTAGGATCAGTTAAAGATGAAATTGCCAAAGTGAAAGCAAAGTACCAGGCCAAACTTCAAGCCCATCCTAATAGACTTGCGCAGTCTTTAACTTGGCACACTAGCCATACACGACTCCGGCAAAGAGACCTCCCCACCCAGCAATAATACTTAGCTAGGGACGTACTCTAAGTAATTAAGTGTAATTAATTAAATAAATATATTAGGCTAAGATTTTTATACTTGTCGTAAGTCTCTAATAGGGAAGATTCGATAAACAAAAAAACCGGAATAATAAAAAAAATATATATATATAAAAGACAAAACACAAAACGGACATAAGGATAAATTAAAACTTTTTATTTCATAATCATTTCATTTTATCCTGTCATGGCCATGGCTTAGATGGCTGCCCTGTGGTACTCCAAAAGTAACCTTAAAAGGTGAAGAGAAGGAGTTTTTGAAGAGGAATCTTTGAGACATAGAACGAAGGTAGCTAGAAATCCATCTAAAAAAACGAGAAGGAACGTGTGAGTTGTTTCTGGGGACACAACTCTATTTATACCCGTACTCAGTCAGTATATACATTTTTGAGCTTATGATTTTTTCGAATTTTAGAAAAAAAAAAAACATTTTACATTTTACATTTTTTTGCTACATCTGCTATCTACATCTACATATACAATGTCTATTCTACATCTAACATGTAGATTGTACATGTTCCATTCATATTCTACATCTCCTCCGCTAGGGGTTGCAAGCGCACTGAACGCGGCAGAGTGTGCGAGCGAGAAGGAAAATGAGTTGCGTTGTCGTGGGCGGGAGGGGGAGGGGAAGCAACTAAAAATTAATTTCTTCATTCTGGTTCTATAATTATGATCCGATCTGATTCAGATTCGGCAGTCTGGTAGATATGGGCATTCTCTACGATACTGCTTTTTTAGTTTTATCGTATCTTAAAAAATGTGCCTGCCACAGATTTTCGTTTTTTGTAGGGGCGGAAGGTGGCGGGGCGAAATTTTGAAATACACTTGTAGCAGTGGGATATCACATGAGTCTGGAAACCAAATTTGGTTGCTCTAGCTCTTATAGTCTCTGAGATCTAGGCGCTCAACAAGACAGACAGACGGTCAGACGGACAGACGGACAGACAGACATGGCTCTATCGACTCGGCTATTGATGCTGATCAAGAATATATATACTTTATGGGGTCGGAAACGTTTCCTTCTCTGCGTTACACACATCCACTTTTACCACAAATCTAATATACCCCTTAACTCTTTTTTGAGTACGGGTATAATTAGGAGGAAACCCTAAAAGGTCAAGTTTTTGTTCTAGAAGGGAGGGAATGGCTTACAGAATCAAATGCTTTACTGAAATCAGTGTAAATAACATCTGTCTGCAAGTAAGGGTAAGGGTAAAGATAGGGTATAGGCGAATAGTTTAAGCAGGGGTCCACACAGAGCTTCGGCAAAGTACCTGAGTACACAGCCAGGAACTCCGGCTTAACTAGTCGAAAATCATAAAGCAGTCAGCTTTCATTTAACAGGGGCTGAAAATGCCGTTAGACCTTGGAAAACTGTATGGATACGGCTGACCAGAGTAGATTTCATGAGTATAGGTTGTTTGGAAAACTTTGCCAAAAAGATCGGCAATTGCCTAATCATTATTGGCCGACGAATTAAGAAATATGAGCGAGAATGGATGTGCGGACGTTCCACGCTTATTATTTACGAAGCTGTACAACTTTTTAGGGTCCTGTGAAAATCGTATCCTGCATTGGGATAGGTAATAGGATAGGTAAATTATAAAGTCATGATTTTAAGTTTTTTAGACTGGATAACTCTTTGGTAAACCAAGGAGGCTTCCCGGAAGGCCTAATATCGACCGACACTTCAAATGTAGGATGGTAGGAGTCTTCAGGTATAGTGGGAAGGGCTCGGATTAGCAACGCTATGGTCGGATCCGAGACAAAGCACAGATCAAGCAATCTACCCAAGGAATTTTTCATATGGTTGACTTGAGACAGGGATAGGTCTAGCAAGCCGTCGATAAAGTCATGTCGTAACATGGCCACAAGATTGTTAGACTCGTTCAACGAAGACCAAACTGTACCTGGCAAATTGAAATCACCAAGAACTATCATATGGTCTTTATCTGATAGCGAGGAAGAAACAGTTTTTAAAGCGGACAGGTGATGCTGGTATATTAAGACATCCGAGGAAGGTGGAATATACGAGCAAGTAATGAAAATGGAAAAGCCTGGGGGAATCAGTTTTATGCACAGGAATTCCAGGTCTTGTTGAACCTGGACCATGAAATGTTCCGACGTGAAGTTTGAGTCCACTGCAATGAGGACCCCACCTCCACGTCGAGACAAACGGTCATTTCTAAAAATTGTGTACCGACCTGCCAAAACTTCGGAACTAAGGATGTCCCGGCTTTAACAAGGTTAGTTTTTTGGATGGGTAGAAGTAGAGCACTTGTCTGACTACTAGGAAGAGTTATGGTGGGCCTATTCTTTTTCTTAGCCTTAAACTCTTTAACCACCAAATGCTCCAGCCAAAACAGGCACAACAGGCCTAGTACCTGTGATGGCAATATCCGGTGGTCCTGGACGTCTATTATCTGGTGGTAGCGAAACTGATGGGATAGTTAAGGACTCAACGGACACGGACATTACAGACATTTCTAACTGCATACTTTCCGAAGTGACGCATTACGGGAGCCGAATGCCGAATCTGCATCACCAGCAGCGATCGGTGCCTTTGGAGTAGCAAACGTAATCAACTGCTGCACTGAAGGAGTGGTCGGAGTAAGTTTTCCAGATGCGGGCAGATGTGAGGCAGTCGGCGCCTCGGAGACTCAGCCAGCAGCTGTAAACTGCTGAACTGAGTGTCCATGGCCACGAGCCGATCATATTGCTGTTTAAAGCACACGATCAGCTCTTTGAAGCCACTCCGCGTCTGCCTCACGAACGAACGCATGTCGTTTTCCACAGCATTCCTCCCAACTATAATGCAGGGCGTTCTTTTGGGATATGGCATCTCCTACACGGCCCGATATCTGCAGGTTTTTAGGCACAGACGACAGCAAAATCCATAATGATGTCTTTTAATTTTTTTAAAATAAATAGCAATCAGACTAATGTGCAGAGTAAATGCTTAGAGCGCTGCTTAAAGCGAAACTGGAAAAAATTCAGATGAGAGAGGAGAGCTTATAAGTGAGAGCGATTACTGCACAAAAAGATACGAGAGCGAGAGGGAAAGAACAGTTATTGAGATTAAGGTGATAAAGAGAGAGTGATAGGAGGCAATAGCTACGAAAAGCAACAGTACAAGCACAGGACTAACCTACGCACAAAATTAATTAAATAAGTTGTGTTTTGATACAATTAATAGGCATGCACCCGCGGTTATGATTGATTTTAAGGTAAATCAGTTAAAGAGTTAATTTGAAGATAAGACACCGGCTGTTTAAGTAAAATAAAAGGAAAGTGCGAAGCGCAACACAAAAACACGTCTGGTCACTATGAAAGAGAACGAACGTTTTTATGTTAAGAAGATATTTAAATTTAAACTGAAACAAATGTGTATAAAATTAAGCAAGAAACTAAATCCTAAAAATCCTAAACTAAAATTATCTATAGGAAATATTTAATTTAATCCAATTCAGTTTAATAACACTACTAGACAAAATTGAACTTTTTATTTAGGCTGTGAACCAAAATTACTTTTTCTGATAGATTTAGGGATTTAAAGATTTTTGTAGTACTTTATTATTTTTTTTATGGTGTAATTTTTTTATAAAGAATTTTTCAAATCTGGTAGTTTTTTCATGGTTTTTTTCAGAGGTTGTGCTTCTATTTTTCACATAACTTAAGTATCTTAAATCTGGTTGCATAGAATGCATGCATATTAGATGTCAATAACAAGGATGAGCGTGGGAACAAGGGGCGCACTTCTTTTCTAAGCGTTAGTCTTAGTTTAATATAGTTGTTTAGGGCAGCAGCGCGGTTAGCTCGCGCGCTCTCCCATGCCCTTCGCTCTCGCGCGGCGTGGACGCGATCCACTCGGCGTTCCATCACGGGCGCTAGCCGTAGGCCGAGCTGGAGAGAACAGTCTCTCGACACCTACGCGCCTTTACACAGCCGTCACATCAACCCTCAGCTTTTTACCAGCAAATACACGCCAATTATATTTGACGCCCCCGACTATTATTTATTGGGAATCCGGGCTGTGGGAACCACCAACATCCACCCTCCTACAAAACATTGGTCCTTCGAGCCGGATCTTCGCCTTCCCTATAAGGAGGAGTCCAATCAGCAAGCATCGGTGGATAACATTCCGAAGATAAGTACGATTTCGTTTTCCCAAATCGATTCCTAGTGCGATTAGTTTTATTCCCCGCCAAGTCCGAGTTCCGCGATATATGTATACAGTGATATCCTTCTCTTTCGACAACGCCATATTATCGGCGATTCCGGCCGTTCTCCGTTCCGTCGCCTCCAACTAAAATTGCTACGGTAGTTCTTCCATTCCGTTTTGTCTGGGCATGAGTTGTGAAAAATTAAATATATTCAACAAAATCCAACTGCACCCCAACTCACTAAAACATATGTGCATTCCAATTCGCAAGAGCGGCTCCGCATCTCCAAAATTAAATACAAATATATATACACATCCATAAATACATACACATCCATAAATACATACACATCCATACATACATCCAAGTGCTAACAGAATAAAAACCCACCCAACAATTATTAAGTGTTTTTATTCCGACAGCTATATGCACATATTTCCATAGTTGGCTGCAATAGATCAGTCTATATCTATATCGATGGATCCATATTACCAACTATATACATATGTACATAAAATAACATAACGCACATACATTTAACAATACAAATCTGCGATTCCAAGCAGTTTACGCGTTCCAGCAATAACTTTGGTCGCCACAATACATGATATTATCTCCAATTCCGTAACAAATTATCCTCAACCCAGGCACAGCGCATTTCCGCAGCGATTTCGCATTTTTTCGAGCCAATTGTCGAATTGTATGTCCGAGGGAAATTAGAGGTGACAAAATTTAAGAAAAACTATCGGTATCACGAACACCAAATTTAGGACAAGAAATAAATTCAAGCTGCCGAATTATCCAAAAATACATAGTCCTACGTTGGTTCCGCTTCCACTAACAGATGACAGTATAAGGAATTATAGTTTTTATTTCATATTCGTTCCGATAGTCTCCGCCACACCAGTAGCAGTAAATTTCTTGGCTCCGATCCTCGTGCTCGTGTATCCCATCGGCCCTACCACCTCCACGGCATAAAAAGGGGAGCAAGAAATCGACCAATTCCGTCCTCAATCCATCCGCACTAGATAAGGAAGATTAGTTGCCCACTGCAAAGGTCCGTCAAAAGGGTAAACGGAGGAAAGCCGCACTAACAATATATTTTTTTTCAAATATTGCCACAGCCAGTGTGACCGTTCCTCTCCTCGGCGTGTATCAATTTGATCCACTCATTGTTTGGGAACCTCGATCCAGAGCGGCCACAAATAATTCGAGTTGGTATTAAAAAATTTTGTCCTTTCCATTCCTCCAGCAGTGGGTTCTTTTTGTGTGTTGAAGGGATTTAGTGCCTTCTCGTGTGGTTCCCAGCCCAGCCTTAGTTTTTTTTTCTCTTCTTTCGCCAATCCGCGGATTCCGCATCCGACTTCGCATCCAACCTCTGCGTGTGTGAGTAGTATGCCAACGGGTGACAAGGACAGCAAAGGGCTTTTGGCTGCGACTTCTCCACGTCGGCTACGCACCTCTTCCGTCTCAGGAACTACCCCCACTCAAAAGATCAAGTTGCCAGTCTCTCCCAGAGCAGCCAGTAGCAGCCCTGCTGTAAGGACCAAGTCGGTTCTCTTCCCGTCTCCCGTCACTCCCAAGGTGCCAGCTCGGATCCAAGACGATCCAACCAGCTCTTTCGGTAATAGTCCCGTGAGCTCGAGACCTTCCATCACAATGGCTCAACCCGCCACCACTACTGCACGAGCAAAATTAGCCGCCGCCATTGGCCGGCTGTCTCATTTGGAAGCGCGCATCACTTCCGCTCCATCCGCATCTCTTTCCGAGGTTCGCCGAGGACAAATTCTGAGTATGTGGGCGGATGTCGAGGCGGAGTATAAAGCTTGCTCCGCAGTGATGGTTGACGAGGACCCAAGGGTCCAAGAAAACATCCGAGAGAAGTACGGCGAGTGCTATGGGGTATTTGAGCAGTGCCTCGCTGACCTCAATGCTCAGCTGGCCCAAGCAGCAGTCCATCCGTCTGCACCGCAAACCTACCAGGGCGGCTGCCGACTGCCTCCCTGCGACATCGAGGTCTTTGCAGGAGATTACGTCCGTTGGCCTACTTTTCGAGATTTATTTACTGCAATTTACATAAATAATTCTAGGCTGTCTCCGGTAGAGAAGTTGTACCACCTCAGCGCGAAGACAAGTGGCGATCCGAAGGCCATAGTCGAGAAGTCCCCGCTCACAAACGATGGTTTCGAGACGGCATGGTCGGCCCTCCGAAACCGTTATGAAAATAATCGGCTCCTGGTGACCAACCAGATAAATATTTTGCTCTTTTTGCCTCGCGTCGAGTCCGAGACCAGTCGAGCTTTAAAAGAGCTTCAAAGCACGATGCAAGGGGTCCTCACCGCCCTTGCTCACTCCAAGGTCTGCACCGACAACTGCACAACTGCACGTTACTATTTGTGCCTCCAAGTTGCCGAAGTTGACCCGGTCTTTTTGGGAAGCGTCCGTCACAGACAAGAAGGAGGTTGGAATCCAACGCCTTCCTCACTCAGCGCTATTCCTCACAAAGGCAATCCGACCCCACCATCGTCCAAAGGTTCCTTGAATCCGCAGCCCTCCGGAAGCAACTCCAATCCGTTCCGGTCTCATGGTAGGTAGTCCCGTGCCAAGGAACTTTCACTCCTTCCAGACACAAGTGAGCCCGAAAAGAAGAACATGTGATCTCTGTTCCAAAGAGAATCACCCGATTCCACTATGTCCGCACTTCTTACAAATGACCGTGGACGCACGAGCCAGCTGCATTAAAAAAAGGCAACTGTGCTTGAACTGTTTCGCTAGAGGTCATCAGCTCCGGGAATGCCAAAGCGCCCACAGTTGCTTCACTTGTGGAGCCCGCCACCACACGCTCCTGCATCGTGGTACTCCAGCTCCCAGCGAGCTGACTTCCACAACAACGCTTCTTCCGTCGCTCCGCCCAACGTTCAGAACTATTTTGCTTCGGGAACAAGAGCGGTGCTTCTCGGTGCGGCAATAATCAACATCTGCCACCGGTCGACAAATTTCCGTGCCCGCGCTCTGATCGACTCGGGCTCCGAAGCGACGTTCATTACGGAACGTCTCTTTAATATCATCCAGTTGCCATTCCGCCTCATTCAGGCCCAGGTTTCAGGCCTAAATCAGACTGTAGCAGCTCAATCCAAGAAGCTCTGTGATTTGTCCATTCGCTCCCTGATTACGCCCAGCGAACAGTTAAACGCCACGGCCTACGTCCTGCCAGACATAGCCGGCAATCTCCATTCATATCCGATCCCGCAGAGCGCGTTGCGAGACTTGCCGAACCTGCCTTTAGCAGACCCTACATTTTATGAGAGCTCACAGATAGACGTTTCCATACTGTTAAGCGGCTCACAGACCGACATCTGTGGTTCCCTCCTCGGACAGCAAACCATCTTTGGGTGGGTGCTTACCGGTCCAGTGCCAAGTGCTGTTCCAGACCAGATTGCATCTTTCTCCACCCAAATTTCCCACGTCCGCGATGCTCCATTGGACAAACTTTTCACAAAGTTTTGGGAGGTAGAGGATCTACCTATCAAGGTAGTAGGAGAGTCGGACTCCTATTGCGAAAGCAATTTTCTTCGAACCACGTCAAGAACGTCAAGAGGCAAGTACGTGGTAGCACTAGCGTTTCGTGACACCGATCATTGTGGGGCAGGCCTGGGGCATACAAGGTCCATTGCCCTAGCTCAGCTACTACGAAATGAGAATAGGCTAAAGAGAGACATTCCATATCATGAGCAGTATAACTCTGTGATCCATGAATATTTAGATGACAGAGGTTCCCTCCACTAACGATTCCGCCAATTATTATCTCCAGCACCATGCGGTGGTCAAGCTTGAAAGCACAATCACGATAGTCCGCGTGGTCTTCAACGCGTCCATCCCTTCGGCGAACGGCGCGAGCTTGAATGATCTTCTTCATGCTGGTCCGGTCCTCCAATCCGATTTAACCCTCCAAATCCTGAAGTAGCGCTATTTCCCATACGTCAACGCCGACATTACAAAGATGGATCGCCAGATTTGGGTACATCCGAAGCACATGCCCTTCCAGCGAATATTATTTCTAAACCAGGAGGGGGAGATTCGGGACTACGAACTGAAAACCGTGACCTTTGGAATCAATTGCGCTCCGTTTTTAGCCATCCGGGTACAGCAACAGCTTGCGGACAACATCCAGTCTCGATATCCAAAGGCAAGTCACATTGTGCGGCAGTTTATGTACGTCGACGACGTCCTAGCCGGGGCAGACTCCATCAAGGAGGCTCAGCTGGCTATCCACGTACTGCAGGCCACTCTGCAGCTCTGCAGGTTTTCCACTGCGCAAATGGACGTCCAACCAAAAGGAGATTTTGGCCGGGATTCCGAGTGAGCACCTCCTTCACAACGATTTGCTGGAAATTGAGGCCGAGAGCACGGCAAAGACCCTCGGAGTTCGTTGGAGGGCGACGTCAGACGAGTTCTTCTTTGTTCCTCCCGTGTTCACGCTTGAGTTATCCTATACCAAGCGAGAAGTTCTTTCCCAAATTGCGAAGCTGTTTGACCCCGCGGGGTGGCTAGCCTCATTCATCGTCCGGTCCAAGATTTTTATGCAGGAGATCTGGTTGCAATATTTGGGAAGGGACGAACCTCTTCCAAGTTCGTTGTACCAACGCTGGCTAGACTTTCTGCAAAGTTACGCATCACTACCCGAGATCAAGACTCCAAGATGGGTATGTTACCAGCCATCAGTAAAGATCGAACATCACGGTTTCTGAGATGCCTCCGAAAAGGCGTACGGTGCAGCGATCTACGTGCGCGTCGAGTGTGACCAGCATATCACGGTGCATCTACTGTCGGCGAAAACACGAGTCGCTCCCGTGAAAACCGTTTCGCTTCCTCGACTAGAGCTGTGCGGTGCAGTGCTCCAAGCATGCCGACGGAAAGTCATCAATGCTACTACTGGACCGATTCTATACTGGCCAATCGAGTGACGAAAATAGCTCAGACTACCGAAACCAAGGATTGGGCTCATGTTCGTTCCCGCTGACCCCGCTAACCCCACTGACTTAGCCAGTAGAGGCGTAGCTTTACCAGAACTGGTGGGTAGCCAACTCTGTTGGAATGGACCAGCGAGGTTGCAATCTCCACGTGATCAATGGCCAGCCCAAGCCGCCGAAACTCCAAATTCAAACCCTAGAGCAGCGGGCCGTGAAGGTCCATCTGGTTTCCAGCCCACCCGAAGATTTCCTGGAGCGATTCTCCCATCTTGAGAAGGCTCTTCGAGTGCGGGCATATGTTCTACGTTTTATTCAGTGTTGCCGGAAAGTAAAACCCGCATGTAGGGACCACCTCACTAGTGGGGAAATTAGCGAAGCGGAGCGAACTCTTATCCTAGAGGCTCAGCGCCAGGACTTCCCCCAAGAATCTCACTGCCTGAGTGGTAAACATCCCGTGCCAAGTTCAAGCTCTATTTTGAATCTGAACCCCTTTCTAGACCGACATGGGATCATGAGAGCCTGTGGCCAGATCACAGCTTCACAAGATGTGAAGTATGACGAGCGCCATCCAATCATACTGTCCTATAGGTGCCGCCTGTCTCGCCTGCTCGCTCACTTCACGCACAGGATCACTCTCCATGGCGGCAGTCAACTGATGACGCGCCTCATTCGTTGCAAATATTGGATCCCGAGAATCTGGAACCTGATCAGATTCAGATGCAAGGTCTGCATCATCCACAAGAAGAAGCTACAGACCCAACTGATGGGTGATCTCCCGACAGACCGAACTTCTTTCTCCAGACCGTTTGCCCATACCGGTATTGACTATGCAGGTCCTTTCGACATAAGGAACTATACCGGGAGAGCGTGCCTGATCACCAAGGGTTATGTGTGCGTATTTATATGTTTTTCCACGAAGGCCATTCACTTGGAGGTCACTTCCGACCTGACCACCGAGCAGTTTCTAGCAGCTTTCGCTCGCTTCGTCGCTAGACGAGGTTGTCCGCAGCGTATCCATTCCGACAATGGAAAAACTTTCGTGGGAGCAACAACTGTACTTTCTCGGGACTTTCTAGAGGCGTTCCAGGATTCGGCGACTGAGGCATATAGCCATCAACGGGTTGCATGGCGTTTCATCCCGCCCGGAGCTCCACATATGGGGGGCCTGTGGGAAGCCATCGTAAAGAGTTTTAAAACGCTCTTCTACAAAGCCACGTCCACCCGGAAATATACCTTTGAGCTCTCGACGCTGCTCGCTAAGATTGAAGCATGCCTAAATTCCAGGCCACTCTCACCTATGTCCGAAAGTCCGACGGAGTTGCCCTCACTCCAGGACACTTCCTTATCGCAGGACCGTTAATGGCGACCGCAGAGCCCGAAATAAAGGAGAACCTCCAGTCGATCATTAATCGCTGGCAGCATTTGAAGGCCCTCAACCAGCAGTTCTGCCAGAGGTGGAAGGATGAGTACCTCAAGGAACTCCACAAGCGCAACAAGTGGCAGACGGATATGCCAAATCTTCAGATCGGCGATATGGTTATCGTGAAAGAAGATAACCTGCCTTCTATCGACTGGCGACTCGGAAGAGTACAGTCCGTGTATCCCCATGCACGCCGGTGAGCTGCATTGACGCTTCCTTGGCCGCCGACTTCAAGTTGCCCAGCACGCGCATCGGAGCGGAGAAGGTTGGCACCGCTATCATCCGCGCCAGGACCGGCGATGTCCAAATGGACGTGGTCCTCAAACTGGCGCCCCGCTTACGCGTCCGCACGCCGCTGCGACCCTTGAGCGAAGCGACTCGGGTCAGGTTCAACGACATTAGCCTTGCCAATGAGCAATTCCATCGCCCGGCCACCATCTTTCTAAAATTGGGAGCTGATGTCTATCAGAAGGTGATCCAACCCGGGTTCCTTGCTCGAGGAGACGGCCTTCCAGTGGCCCAAAGCACGGTTTTCGGATGGATTGTGTCCGGGGCCTGTACGCAGCCATAGGAGGTGATGTTGCAGTCCTGCAAGGGGGGGGGGAGGATGTTTAGGGCAGCAGCGCGGTTAACAGCGTTAACAGCGCTCTGTTAGCTCGAGCGCTCTCCCATGCCCTTCGCTCTCGCGCGGCGTGGACGCGATCCACTCGGCGCTCCATCACGGGCGCTAGCCGTAGCCGAGCAGGAGAGAACAGTCTTTCGACATCTACGCGCCTTTACACAACCGTCACATCAACCCTCAGCTTTGTACCAGCAAATACACGCCAATTATATTTGACGCCCCCGACTATTATTTATTGGGAATCCGGGCTGTGGGAACCACCAACATCCACCCTCCTACAAAACAATAGTTATAGTTTCGAGCCCCTGTAATAAATTCATTTCATGAGTGTTTAAACCCCACTTTAGACAAAGACAAGGACAAAGAACGAATGTGGCAAAAAATATTACATCTAAAAAGACGGTTAAATATGGAAATGTAACACCGGCAACACACTTTTTATTACTCTGGTCGATACACGAAATCCGGAGCCTACACGTTTTTCACGTGTGGCTTCAACTATTAATATTCGGGAGGGAGTTGCAGTCACCAAATCGGAAAAATATAAGCCAGCTTCTACAATAATCTCTTTAAAAGTGGAAACTAGCTCAAAAGTTTCAAAAGGACTTGTGGAAAAAACCTAAAGATAAGCTACAAAAGATAAATGGACTCAGCCTTCATCCTGAAAAAATTACTGCGGATTCTTCACACTGAGGCGGTATCTACGGAAGAAAGCCAAATTAAAAGACAGTCGTCAGACCGCCGGCAAGTTGTTCAAACTATGAACAGAAGTTTACACAACACCGCGTCAATCCCAACCTTTGCGGACCATCGACAATAATAATGAACAGGATCTAGCACCAGCCCACAGTGCAATTACCGCAATTCTGGGGTACGGCGGGAAAGAAGTTCATGCACATGAGCAGGTCCCTACAACAGACAACGCCGAAGAAAATACAGTCCACTTGATGGAGGCCTACAAACCCGCAGTTATCTCAAATCTAGCAGATCGCGGGCAGGATGTTCGTAAACATGAACAGGAACCGACACAGGCCACCCCATAAACACAATACGGTCCACTTGAGGAAAGGGACACCTAGATATATGAGCGGTTCGACCATCAAATCATACACGTGGGTTGCGTCGAACCCAAATCTATTAACAAATGTGGTATGCATGCATTAGGTGTCAATAACAAGGATGAGCGTAGGAATTTATTATTATTATTTATTAATCTATTATTTTCTTAGCGTTAGTCTTAGTCTAATTATGTTATAGTTTCCTATAGTATATACGTACGTATATAGTGCATATGTTCCGAAAATAAAACTGTTCGAATTTACAACTCGTCTTAGTAACATCAATACTTATGAACGTAGAATTATTCTTTTAAGATACGATTTAAATAGACATGGAATTATGAATATTTTCTTATTAGTATTGTACACATAGAATCAACTACATCACAATGTAGATTCTACATCTCCTCCCCAGAGAGAGCACACTGTACAGGCAAAGTGTATGATAGAGAGAGAGAGGATAAGTAACAGCTGCATTTTTAAAA